ACTATGGGCAAAAGTAGGATGTAAGAAGGACTACCCAAGAGGAGAAAGGCACACCTGATTGGGAAGAAGCCCGGATATGGCAGGAAATATGGGTGAAACAAAAAAAACCACCGAAATACTGGGGTTGCGGTTGTGGGATGTAGCTTAGTTTGCCATGACGCGAATTTGTGGTAATTAAGCACTGGGAAACTTGATTCAGGTTCCTTGACAGCAACAAAGAATATGAATGAAGATGATTACTTTCCCACACACGGCCTAAACCCTGAACCTCAAACCTGTGCGCCCCAGCTGCGGGGCCCCAACTCCACTACTCAAACAATGTAGCCCTTTCTGAAGCCTCACCTGCCACGCAGTGAATTCCCTTCTGCCGTAAACTCTTACAATTTATTTTGGTTCAATCCCCCACCCCAAAATTTGTACCGCAAAGACTATTGCAGGTTTATCAGGGGCCTAATAACTCTACATTTATGGCTACTACTGTAAGGGGGTTGACCTGAAGTTTACTGATGAGGGTTAGGCTCCTCATCTTCTAAAAACATTAAAAGCCCACTACCAGGATAGGGCTTTTCGGGCTTAAGGTTTATGATTTACGGTTTGGATTTAGGCTTTAGGTTGATGCTGGCAAAACTGTATGATATGCGGGCACCTTTATCACGACAGAACCTAGTATACAAAACTTTGTAAGCCCCACAGGGTCAGTGCATCATCCTTATACTGTACACCACACTTCGCAAACCCCTACACTACAAAATCTAAACCCCAAGTTATAAGCCCCTAAGCCCCAAAACCCTAAACCGCACGCTTCATAAACAGGGAAAACCCTAAACCCCAAACTGCGCACGTATGAAAAAAAAAGCACAAGAATCAACGCGGCCAAGCATCTTAAACAACAGCCTGCACATTGGCCTGTTGCGCAACTCCCCGCTCAGGGTGGCGCTTCTCCCCGAAACCCCGATGAAACCCCAAAAACTTTCTCAAGTCAGAATGTGGGGGTAATTCGTGACAGGATGACCTGCGGGTCCCCATGTACATGGGATTTGGGGCGTGATTTAAGATCTAAGGATGAAGGCTGTTCAAAAAAAAGGTTCCCCCAGCGACCCTAGGAATACAAGGGGGCTGTGTTTTCAGTTCCCCAAATTTAGGGGGGCTGGTAATTCATAATCCCTAACATCCGCGGAAATCCCCAACACTCGCTCAGGTTCCCCAAGTATCTATCTCCTTACGCCCTGGCCTTAAACCCCCGTGGACTCACCGCCCTTATGGTAATTACGGTGAGATTTTAAAGCCTAAATCCGAAGCCCTCAGGGTTCAAGGTTAGGGTTACGCTGGGGAGTCTCCTTCTCAAGCAGCTTCAACAAGTCAGACTCCGGGCTTTGACAAAAGACGGCCACACTTCAGTGCCTGCTGAGAGGGCATAAGTATATACACATATATATATGGCAACCCCCACCCACCCCCATCGATCCAGCTAGACCATGTCTCCTACGTAAGTGCCATGGTTCCAGCATCTTTTCAATGATCGATTTTTGGCCAGTCTATTCCCCTATTCATCGAGTCATAATACTTCAAGGATCTCCATATTCATGATGTGTCAAACAAAGATCTAAATGGAATTAATTTCCCAGGGTTGTAGAATTCCGGCGTTGAAGGTGACCTTGGCTTCCATGAATTCCACTTAAAGTTCAATTCCAAATGGAAACAAAAATCATATAACCTTGGATTTCCAATTTCGAATCTCGATTCTAATTGACTTGAATGAGGAGCTTAACAAAGGCCAGGACCCAGGATCCGAAATCCTGGATTTCCAATTTCGAATCTCCGTTCTAATCAGAATTAATGAAGAACTTAATATTGACCAAGACCCAAAACTCAAGGCTTTTTTGTGGCTTTTGAAAAGCTTTGAAATCAAGAAAACATTTTTAAAGTTTTTTGGAATTTTACACGTTTTTATTGAAAAATCCGGAAAACAATGAAGTTTGTTGTATTTTCAGCATGTTTTATTGATAGATCCAAAAATTTTTTGGATTTCTATGCTTTTCCAAACCATAAAAAATTCGAAATTCAAAAAATCTAAAGTTTTTTGGAAATATTCCAAAAACTCAAAGAACACACAGTGTAAATCAGTGTAAACCCGAAAACCCAAAACTTGTGGGGCATCCCCATAGTTTCTAATTTTTTTGGATTTGTGTGTTTTGGATTCTGGGTCCTGGCCCTCTGAATAGAACGGAGATTCGAAATCGGAAATCCGGGATTTCGGATCCTGGGTCCTGGCCCTTACTGAACTCCTTATTCAATTTCATTAGAACTGAAACCCGAGATCGGAAATCCAGGATTTGGATCCCAGGTCCTGGCCCTTGTTAAGCTCCTTATCACATCTAGGTTTTAACTGCGACGGAACGGCAATTCCCGTAATCCCGGATTTCCGATTTCGGGTTTCCTCTCAAATCTCATTAGTTACAGAGCTTTAATAAGTAATGTTGTAAGAACGCCTTTACATGCCGCCAGGGACCAAAGCCTCCAGGGATGCTGGGGCCTCCGAAGGGCCTCCAAGCTTCCATATCCCTGCGAAATATAATTTGTGCTGAAAGTCATGTGGGTTAATATATTACTCATTGGAAAATCATAATAGCATCCACTAAGATTTCCAATCAGTATCTCTTCATTAGTGTCTTGCTGCTTCTAGCACACAGCGGCTCCCGGACATATTTTATGCAGCGCATCTCATGGTCAGCTTGTGATTCAAGCATTGGCGACGGCCCTTAGGGCCTGCCACTCATGGAGACATAGAATAGATACATTTCGGTGACTCCTACTTTGTAGAGTCGATGGAAGGACCTGTAGACGGGGTCGCCTTGACGTTCTGTACGTATTTTTGATTTTAGATAAGTCTCACTTACATCTATCTAATTATGCTTCCAATACATAAGCCACATGAATGCTAATCTCTCCAAAGCAACCAGAAAGTACGCAAGCAACGAATCTCGGAATTTCTCGCGGCGCGCTGGGTAAATGTTCTCGCCTCATCGGTGTTCTGGCGCGACGTATCTGCACGCAGTACAAACAGATCACATATCGCACCATGTGATTCATAGACAATATTTTTGTTTATATCCGCGTACATTAACTTCACAATGAAAAGTGTTGCCGTTTGATATGCGCAGCCGCTCCATAATGGCTTCCCACGCAAGACTCGGCAGCGTAACTATCTTGTAACCACCAAACCATAGACATGATGACGAGGCACACGTCTGCCGCGAGAACTCAGAAGCCGGACGAACATAGAGGAACAACTGAGTGTTGAGGAAGATGCGCGTGCGCTTCAAGACTGCCATGACGTTCGTGATGGTAGCTTCTGGCTTGTACCAGGAAGCTTCAAGCATCTTGATGAAGGAGTCGTGTGCGACGTACGAGGTGAGGCCTTGCCTGTGAGCTAGGATGGGTAAGTCATTGGTTGGCTTGACTTTGATGTCCAAGTCATTGACGCATAGAGGCGTAGCTTGCTCTTTACCCATTTGGCGGCCCCCCACCAATCTTTAGTAGACATGGATTCGATGTTGCCTACGTCAGTGAAGGGCTTGATCGTCTTGAACGGCTGCTCTGTCAGGCTACTGTCATTGAAGATGTCCGGACTGAGAGCCTTGACGAAATGATGTTTCCTGAAAAAATATAACGCAGTAGCGGTGACTGTGTTGGAACCGCAAAAGGCTATGCAGATGAGATACCGAACCTGCCTGTCCGCGAAAGAAATCGAATTCACAGGCTTGGCGGAAACTGGGATCGATGTCACCGGCCTTGCCAATCTCGTGAATTTTCCGCCTGGATAGTGCGCTGGCAATGGATCTAGCAACTGGTGTTGTGCCAGCACCCGCCGAGCCGCCGGGCCAAGGCCTTGAGGAAACGTATGTCTAAGTCGAAGAGAGTGAGGAGCCATTCTTTATGCACTTGCGCCAATACGTTGTCCTGGGACAAGTTCCTGCGAGATTCCTCAACTAAAGCAGGTGGCCACTTGTAGATGGGGGACCCCTTGGAGGTCGTCTGGACGGTGATTCACTGCAATTGGCGGTGTTTGTGTGGTCAACTTGGGCCATCCGGCTCTATGAAGTTACAGCCTGCATCCCACTCCTCCTCCAAACGCTCGTTTTCGGGCTTGCCCTCCTCTACCATCCTGAATATATGTTGGCGGCACTGAAACCCTCCGAGGCATTCATAGATGTAGTTGACGCACTTTTTCGTTGCCCGACTGTCACCCTGCCAGTTGACCACATAGATGTTGCGATGACACAAGTTCCTTACCCACCTCGACAGACCACGCATGCAGACCTATACGAGCTTGATCGAGGGGGTGTGGTTAGCATACATACAACCCTAAACCCTACTATATGTATGTGTATGTGTATATATATATATGTATGATTTGGGGTTTGGGGCTGGGGTGAGGCTACAGGATTGGCTTGAGAAACTCCGGCAGCCCTCAACAAGCTGAAGATGACTCGCATAGCCCTGATGTTCCCGAAGCCTGCACCCAAGGTTAGGAGCTCTAGGGTTCAGGTTTAAGGCTTCTACCCTTCAATGGGGTTTGATGCGGTCTTTGGATAGGCTTCTTCTGCTTACTCTAAACCCGACACCCAAAGCCCTCAACCCTGGGGGGTCTAGGTAGGCTTCAGGCCCAAATCAAGACCATCAGCTCTAAATCCGACTCCCTAAGGTCTAGGGTATAGTTTTAGGGTTCCGGGCTAAGGGTTTAGGGTTTGAGGCTCTAATCCGCATCCCGAACCGAGCCGAGACCCTAATATAGGGGCCTAAATCATAAGCGAAGCGACATGCAAGCTGAGTTTATAGAGGTCTTTATAAGGAGTACCGCGAATCATTTTGGGGTCTTTTTGGGGTACTCTTTGATAATAAGAAAGAATCTTGACATTGGCAATTAAGTGGAAATGTTAAAATTGGTAATGATTCAGGTTTCTACATTACGCCCGTCCATCTTCCCGCAGAAAGCCCGCCTGTGCAAGATGTCATGACCTCGGCGGAGGGCTCATCTCACGAAACGCGGGAATTCAAAGTTTTAAGGTTTTGGGTTTAGTTTAGGGTTTAGAGTTCAGTGTGCAAGGTTGGGGGCTTAGGGTTCAGGGTTGGGCTATTTAAAGTTTTTAGTCATGGCCGCCCCACAAGGACATCACATGCATACACTCGCCAATATTCCCGACCAACCCTTTATACACTCACCACAAGCAGAATAAACGTCACCCTGCAAATTCTTTAGAATCACGTCTTTCTTTTCTGGGGAGCCTCCAAAAATTCCTCAAATTTTCACAGCTCCCGGAGGTCCCTGCTTCGGGAGACCTCCGACAGAAAACCAGGAAGGCACAAAAGGAAAGGGAAAGGATCACATTTCGAGACGGCTCAAACAATATGTGAGAAAAACACTCATCTTGTAGATACACCTCCCATACAGCTGTACTGGAGATATACTATTACGGGGTCCATGATTTAGTGGAATTCGTTACAGGGTCTGCGGGTGGTGTTAAGAAGGGGTATGACCCTCATAGAACCAGTTACCAAGGCCGTTGGACATCCAGGAAAGGAATACACATTGAATCCCTAAACTGGGTTGCTGTTAAGGAACTTAAATTAAGTTACTATATTGGGGAAACCCTATTATTTAATATATATATACCCATTATGGTAACTTAATTTAAGTTCCTTAACAGCAACCCTAAACCTCAACCCAAAATTGACATGGAGTCCCACCAAGCACTGCATACTTTCGGGTGTTCTGCTATCAGGCCCTCTACTTGGAGGGTCATGGGACTTAGTAAGTAGGTTAATAAGGGGGATAACTAGAGTTACTATATGGGCTACTGGGATTATTAATCTACCCACTAAGTCCTCCTGATCCTGCAAGTATGTTCCTGCGCGGCTGAGTCCGCCGCTGCCACAAGGACCTGCATGGGAATCGATGGCGCAAGGGTTCACTTGCTGGGGGTTAGAGGGTTTAGGGTTTAGGGTTGGTAGGGATAAAAGAACATATCATCATAGGCATTCTATGGGTATCATATTCCCTTATTCCCTACTAACTGGCAGTAAGTTCAGGGTTGGAGGTTTGGTGATGGATTTAAGGGTTTTGCCCTTCGAGGTTTGGAGTTCAGAGCTCGGGGTGCTAGGCTTGGGCTTTGCGGGGTTCAGGCGTTTTGGGTTTAGGAGTGCACTTAAAATTTTGCCTTCATGCAAGATCTAAAGTGCCTCCCCTGCAAATCCTCATCCCTAAACCCTCATCTTTGACCCATTTTAAGTGCTGAGACCCAGATCGCAATGAGTACTGTAATTAGAATACTTGTTGCAGAAGCAGTAGTAAGAGGCGGCGGCGTAGCACTACCAAACTATTTGCTGCAGGTCGGAAGCCTAAGCCCCCCCAAACAGCAAACCCTAAACCCCCAAAACTCAAAACCCCAAGCCCATTAAGCGGTGCTTCCCAAAATCAATCCCTACAATCTTTCAGGGGTGACCTTCTGATCCTCATATGAGGCGTAACCCAAAATTAGGCGTACCTTTTTGGGGGGGGGTCTATATTTGGGTACCCCTATTTTGGGAAACTACCATATACTCCTTCTATGTCCCATGGGGTCCCTGTAGTCCCTCTGTGTCCAAAAACCCTAAACCCGCATGACCCTAAACCCTAACCCGAATAGTTTCCTTGTTCTTTTCCATTATCCCTAAGAATACCATAGGTGGACCCCCCACCCAGTAATAGTGACTATAAGGAATAATAAGGACTATATTCGGGTCCTCTTATATTCCTATTATGCCACGATTACAGGGTGGGGGGTCCTCCTAAAGAATACCCCAATGGGTACCTATATCCCCAATATTAGCCTACACCCTAAACCCTAAATCCCTAAACCCTAAACCCTATATAACACGGGAAGGGAGGGTGGGGGGGTCCTCCTAATGCAGATCTGTTTCCAAGTTGGGTGATGCAT